GCTGGATGACCCCAAAAAGCCAGTAAGTCTTCACTGCCTGTCCCCAGGACAAGAGGGTGCTCTCAGAGACCCTAACATGTGTATCTCCTCCTGCCCCCACTCACTCAGCAGGCCAGTCAATGCTGAGAAGAAGGTCTGTATCAGCAGTTCCAGGGGAGTGAATTCACCCTTCATTTCAAAAGCAGTGGTAGGCACATCACAGACAGTGATAGTGTCGACTTCCCACATGTTAGCCCTGGCTAAAGTGCTTCAGCCACGACTAGGACAAGGCTGTTGCTAGTGTAAGGGGTGGGAGAGGACATTCAGTTTCTCTAGGCCAAACTGTGCTTGGCCTTACTGTAGAGGTTGGCTGTGAAACTGCAATTCTGAACTTTCAAACATGAGTAACACCTTCCTACTGGGGTTAAGCTGGTGTCAGAGAACACTCAGGCCCAATACATTTGGGTTCCTTGTTGGCAGCAATTTTTTTTCAAGTTAATAATTCCTGGTATGCTGTAGTGGAGTCCAGAACACATACCTGACGGCTCAGTCCAGGGTTGTGCTAATTCTGGCCCAAACAGACATGGATTTACTTCCCAGACCTGAACTGTGGTTCATATTCAGGAACACCATAGTGAGCTGCTTATGGGGTGCAGAAGACCTCGCTCTATAGTGTGAAAGAGGTTGTCCTCGGAAACTGTGCATCTCTTCTGCATACCCAGTGTAGGCTCCGTGGCATGGTAGGTGATGTTGCACTGGTTGAAGTATGATCCTGTCCCAGAAGGGCAGAGCTCCCCTCCAGTATGCCACGTGGAGTGAATTATGCACCCTACAGGGTCACTGTTTTATCTCTGCGAAGCGTGTTTTCATGTTCAGCACTGCACAGGAGCTGTTGCTGAGGGCAGGGTTTTGCCTGAATTTCTTATCTTGGCTTTGAATCTCTGGAGCCTACCCCAAAAGTGCTGGGATCTCTAGGCTTGGAAAGACCAAACCCTGGCCCCATTTTGGGGTATAAGAGCCCATTCACTCTTATACACTCTCCCTCATCCTAGCCCCCAAAGCAGGAGGTAGCACAGCAATGGTTTGACTGGCCCTAGTCTCCTCATCCCTGTCATCTCTCTCACCACAGAACTGCTTTGAGCTCTTCAATCCCAACTGCAAAGGGCAAAAAATCAAAGCCTGCAAGACAGACGGGGATGGGAAGGTAGTGGAAGGCAAACATCAGTCCTACAAGATCTCTGCACCCACGCCAGAGGAGCGTAACCAGTGGATAGAGGCAATACGGTAAGAGGTGGGCCCCAAGTGAGCATTGACAGGCTCCCCGTGCATGAGTCATTCAGCTTAGGAGAGGCATGGCACTAGGAGAAGAAAGCCCTGCCCAAGCTGCACTGGAGGGCAGCAATGTGAATGGAAGCCCCATGCCAACATTCAGAGGTTGGGGGGGGCCTAATCTTAGAATCATAGAAAATTAAGGTTGAAAAGGACTTCAAGAGGTCATTTAGTCCAACCCCCTGCTCAGAGCAGGACCAGCTCCAGCTATATCATCTCAGCCAAAGCTTTGTCTAGCTGGGCCTTAAAAACCTCCAAGGATTCCACACCCAGTAAGAAAGATTTTTTTCATAACCTTGTCTGTGTGGGACACTTCAGTGGGTACTTTATGGGCAAAAGAAGAGAAGTAATTAGCCCCTCTGGGTGGGAAAGGCAGTGGACCCTATTAGAGATATAAACATTCCCATTTCCATGCCTGGGGAGCCCCCATGGTGCTGGAGATTAAGCCATCTAGAAGCTAGGAGCTCTGGGCTAAGAAGGATTTCCTGCTAGTCCAAGAAGAGAGTGTTGCTTAGGGGCCCACAGATACTCCATTCTGGAGCCCATGCAGATCTTATTGTTCCTTGTGCTCTTCCTCAGCCCTGACTCGCTTTCCTGTTTCACTCCTTTCCAGGACCAGCATCACCCAGGATCCCTTCTATGACCTGGTCTCAGCCCGTAAGAAAAAGATTGCCAGCAAACACTGAGTCGGGCTGCCATGGGCCCACTCCTTTGTGCCCAAAACACTTAACCCTCAGGGAAGTGTCCTCTGCTGATGGGCTTCACCAGCAGAGGTCTCTTGGAGGACATCAGCTCCCTCAACCCCCTGAATGACTGGAGGATAGTTGCTGGGGGTGAGGCCAGGGCTGTGACCTCTTTCATCCTTCCACTCTAGGAGGCATCCCTACTGGGCTCCCATGCCAGCCTCTATGCATTAGGTAGGACATGGTGGGGAGGTCATCAGTTTTTTTTACAGGACTGGTGTCTGATTTCAGCCACTGAGTGGGACTTATACATTTTGCTGGGGAAGTCCTGGAAAGGTTCCTTGCCCATCAGCATGGTCCAGGCCACCTGCACAAACTGAGGACCCAACTGTATCTCTGATCAAGGAGCCAAGGGACCTGGAGAGAAGAGTGCTGGGCTGAGGAGACCTACTGTGAACCCAGAAACTCCTGTGCAATGGGGAGCCCTGTCTGCCCTGTCTGCCTGCCAGTTGCAGGCACCTGCTCCGTGCCCCTGAACACAGCACTGTGAGGTTTGGAGGTCTCTATGAACAGAGAGCTTCAGGACAAGGACATTTGGGGCTCTCTGGTACTGTGTGACCAGGGAAACAGCTCTGGTTCTCTGCCTTCCTGAGTTCTTTCCACTCAGAGCTGGCACACATCATGCCTCCATCAGGAGGCTCAGCTTAGGGAAGAACGCTCTATGGCATCTTGTTACTGCATCCCAGCCTGCAGTGCCCTGAAGTGCCCCCCAAGCCATGGTCTTTCAGCGGCTGGGTTTTGGCATCACAGGAGCTTGCAGAGCATTCTCCTTCACTGCCCATTTGTTTCACTCGTATCCTGTGTTCAGAGAACATGGATCTCTTGTGTACAGAAAGCTAAAACCTCAGGGTGGAATGATCATTAAAAGATAATTATAAGAGCTGCACAGAGAAGAGATGATAAAGTCATGTCACGTGCCCTTGTCTGGGGAGTTGCGCACTCCGGATAATGATGAGCACAGCATCCGCACACAGGAGGGCACGAACTGCTGGCTCACAGGGGGTGTCTGTAGGATGGAGTAACTCACTAAGCAAAGGGTGAAAGAGCTAGAAGCTGGGAGCAGCAGGTGCAGGACTATTGCAGGCTGGTATCATGCACCCCAGATGCCCTGCCCAACTGTGCTAATCACCTCCAAACTGTCCCTTTGTTCCCTGCCCTGTTTGCAGAGGTCTGTAGATGTCCTGTTTCCTTCCACTTGTCTCTCCTCCTCCTCCTATGCCCCTTGCCTTCAAACCTCAGGTCTCCTTGCTTAGCTGGCTCTCATACTCTTCCCCTGTCTGCCTCTTTCCTCCTGCAGGGGGCTCTGTCCACAAGGAAATCCACCATCAGGTTATTTATTTGATTTACTTTGCCATGCAATGGGGAGGCTGAATTAATTTTGAGAGGCAGGGAACGTATCTCAGAGTCAGAGCACGCGCACACCCAAGAGAAGAAATGTGAAGGTTTTTGTCTGGTCTTCCATGAATGTCTCCTGGGGTGAACCTCCAAGCCCCTAGGTGGGCAGGGAAGGAGTCCTCCCTACAATACCCCCAGCCCTTGTAGGTCCCAGTATGAGCAAGGCTGGGTAAAGGCCAGGGGTAGGTGGGAAGAGGCTAGTGTCTTGCCCTCAGCTGGCAGCTTCTGTAAACATATTCAAATGGAGACAAGTGCCAGGGGGTCTGAAGTGGGTTTCCAGGCCCTATTACCTTTCCTCCTCCATTCCCGTGGCCACAGGAATATGCTGCAGGCTCTTCCCATTCTCTGGGGTAGGCTGCCCCCCTCCACCCTCCTCAATGCCTGTGTGCGTGTGTATACACACATACACACATGCACGCACACGCACACACACACACATACAGAATTGTCTCCAAGTGGCAAGAGGGGCAGTGGTTGAGTAATATGAAAGGACTTGGGGATGGAGGCCATGCAGCTCATCCATCCACCAGGCCAATCCAGGGAGAGACCAGGGCAGCCCATCTCCCAGAGGCTGAGGAGTGGTGGATGACAAGGAGACATTTTTGATCATCCTTTCAGAGTTCCACTGCAGATATCTTCTCTCCAAAGCTCATGCGTCACTCACTCTGCACAACTCTACACTGTTAATGGAGTGGCACGAGGTGCTGCATACTGCTCACTGACAAGACAATACACCCAGCGTTCACGACACAGACACACACTCCTGCTGCTCCAGGACACGAACCTACTTGGAGCATAACACAGATGCATGCATGCACAGAAGGAGCAAATCGACCGACAATAAACTTGAGGTGCTTCACACTGGACTCCAAACCTTGAGCTCTACCCCGCAGAAGGGTGCAGGTGTGCGGACACTCACTCACTCACTCACTCCACAGCCTATCAATGAGTTCTGTAGCTACAAAGGCCAGATGGGGATATTCAAGGTCTGACTGGTCACATACAAACATGCTCTCCCCTCGCTGGTAGAAACCACAACCCAGAACACACACACGATCAGATAGTAATTTCTGACAGATTGCTGGCTGGTAAATGCATTGCTCCTTCTCATCACTGATGCCGCGGGTGACACAGACTCGCACACACACTTGGAGGGAAGGCTGCCACTTGTTTTTTTTCCTCACCCTATCAAGGACTCCTGCACGCAGCTGGTAATTTATTTTCATAATAAATGTCCATCTATTTTCATAAAAGGCCAGGAGGAGGGTAACATAAAGCTGGGAACATGGCAATTCATTGCATCCCACCTCCTGCATCTGCCCCTCCCTCTCCTGTTTATCAGCTCTTTTCGGAAAGGCTAATACATTTTAGAAAGCTTTCTAGAAATCGTTTGCAAGCAGAGGAGACGTGATCTGGGAGAGGAGCCAGGGGTTTCATTCAATTCTGCTTAGCTGTAGAGCTACAGGGAGAAGGGAGCAGGGAGCTTGTGTGAGGGAGGCAGAGAACTGGAGAAATGGGCAAGCTCCAGACAACATTCTGGGTTAAACTTCAGATCCAAAGCCAAGCATCAGGGGCTGAGCCTGTTTCTGTGCATGGATCAAGACGGATCCCCAAACCCAAACCTCCTGCCGAATGCTGGGGAGTTGGATTCTCAAACACACTTAGCTCTTAAGTGTGTCAGAAGGGATTGCAGGAGGTGTATTAATGAGCTTGACCAGTGCATTTCTCCTTAAGGTATTTGTATAACACCTGTCACTGTAACATTGGACACACTGCCCTCTACCAGGTGGAATCGGAGCTGCTCAGCTGTATGTCATGCGCCCTATAGTGCTGAGAGCAAACAGCTCTCAAGTGGAGCTTGTGGAAGGGGAGCCCCACAGTTCTGTCCCCTCCATCCGTGTGACACTGAGTGAGCACACAGGGCGGTACTGTGTTTATTTCCCCATGATGAGCCTGAACAGATCTGTTTGCACATTCTCTGCATGGGCAGAGGATGGATAGGCAGTTGCACTTGTGTCACTGTCCTTAGTGACAGATGCTTGTGTGAAGGCCCTTTGTGCTCTATCCTTTGGAGAGGGAGGAGGAATACAGGCCAGCTTTGCTTGGCCTGGCCTGGGTCACATCAACAGAGCTAAGTCACAGCAGAATGGCAAAAGAGGAGATGGAGACAGGGCTGGGGAGGACAGCGTTGCATAGGAGAAAGGAGGGGTATCTGGCTAGGACAGAGGCTGGCTGGTTCTTAATGGCATGATGTAGTATCTAGACTTGCTGCCCCCATCTGCCCCTACTCACAGAAAGTCTACCCAAAGTCCAAGCAGAGCTGTGCCTTGTGGTTTTAGGTGGCCAGGGCCATGGCCAATGCCTCTGCAGGCTTTGCTCTAAGTGTCTGTGACAGGGATGTGCTGCAGTCTAATCTCACCATGCCGTTTCCAATTCTGCCTCCTCTATTTGACGAAGATGAATGAGGCCTGTCCCAGGCGGAAGGGAAGGGAAGAGGAGGGAGGGAGGTTAACACATTATTTCACTCTTGATAGGCCAGATCTTTTCTGCCGGCCACACAGGCTGTGGTTCCAGGGGTGCAGGGGCAGGCTGCACTGTGAGGGGCACACAGCTACAGTGTAAGGGGCTCGGGGGGGTGGGGATGCAGTTCTGAATCCTTTTTACTGAGCAAGAACCACTTTTACATGCACATGTATATGCATTCCCCTTCCACCACCAAGCATGTGGTTTGCATAAAGGCCACAGGTAGCCACAAGAGACCCTTCCCTCTAACTCCAGATATCACATGCCACGGGGCTGTTGAAGGGGTGAGACTGGAGAACATGTTCCAGACAGAGCTCCTCCATTCCAGGCAAAGAGGACATAACCCTCTACAAGTCCTCTATGAAGCTCCAGTTCCTCACCTAGGCCAGGGAGCCCTCTGATGCAGATGCTGTCTCCTGCGGGGCATTGCTCTTCCAGACACTCCTGCTCAGCCTAGTCTCAATAGCAGGTACACATGAGCCAGCTGGGATTGCAGTGTGTGCCTACAGAGGCAGGGATGTGATGGCAGGCTGAACATCTGGGTATCACTGACACACAGCCCCGTGTCAGCCAGAGGAAGGAGTAGAGAGGGGAACCAGCTCATCTCACCTCCCCCTGTGCACACATGTACATGCACATATGCACTCCACTTACACTTTTCTCCCCTATAGTTACAACACTCTCCTTGCATATCAACATGCCTACATGCTCACCCCATGCACAAATACACATGTACTCCTCCTACATACGCACACCCTCCTATTCACAAACACACACACACACAGAGTCCTCCTCCTACATGCTGAAGCTCCACCTCTTGCACAAACACATACAAACACACAAGCATCCTCCCTCCCCCCCTCCTATTCTCACACACCCTGTGTACCAGTATGCATATATTCAGTAGCAAAACTGGGTTGGGAGGCCAGATGGGCACCATCCCCAAGCATTGACTTAAGAGGGGATGCCAGAATGGTGACACTCCCCAGCCACCCCAGTCTTTTCTGTGGAAGAAACAGTACTGCATTGCACAGCTGGAGGAGCTGGGCAAATACAACCCTGCAGCTCCTGGCCAGAGGAGCTGGGTATGAGGACACCCAAGACAGGTAAGACCACCCTCCTTCTTCCCACTGCAACTCTCTATTACTCAGCACACCCCTTCTGTCTCTGGGGCACAAGGGAGATTTGCCCAGGGTATGAAAGGCATTAGTTATACCTCTGGACACATTCCTCCACTAAAAAGATACAAATTCCTTACCTGTACACACACACACACTCATCTTGTACTCCTAAATACACTCCTTCCATCACATTCCAATGTGTATACCCATGTTCCTCAATATGCCCATCTCCTACACATGTGTTCATCCATACCTGCACACACTGCATATCCAAGCCCCAGGTGCATCTTTACTTCCCACTCTTCCCCCTTGGACAGCAGGAGGCTGAGGGAGGAATTAATGTACTGCAAAGTCTCCTAATAATGGCTGAGTGGAGACAATAGAAAGCTGCAGGGAAGAGTTTCCTCCGGAGTGAGAGAGTAGGCAATGTGATGGCAGGATGGACAGAGACCTATAGACAGCCCCAGTCCAGTGGGAGATGGAAGAAGTACTTGGAAGAGGAGAACCTCATTTCTGGGTGCGTGAAAGGACATGGGGACCTATTTGGAGCAGAAAATTTTGTAGGGGGGTGTGTGTGTGTGTGTGTGTGTGTGAAGTCTCATGGTGAGCTGGGTGAAGAGGGGGTGATTTGGGCTGCAATTATGTCTAATCGGTTCTATGAATATTTATTTCTATTAAGTAAATTTGTCAGCTGCATTCAAGTCCTGACAGGCTGCCACCACACCCACTCAGCCACGCCACCTGCCCCCAACTTTTCTATGAGCCATACAAGGACCCTCCTTCAGCCCCGGTCCATTGGGGAATGGGCTGTAGCAACTGTTGTGTCCAGTGTCACACAGAAGTA